AACAGAGATGTAAGGATGCAACATTTCGGTGCCAAACTGGTTCGTTTCATCGAAAGTGATGGATTTGGTGTAGAGCTGAGGTGAAGCCAAGTGCAGCACGGAGACGCCAGCTCCCAGGCAGACACTCAGAGATGGGCTCCAAGAGATGCTGTGGCCTGCACCTGTGAACCACTTCAGCCGCTATTAAAATCAAAAGCTGTTGACTCAAACAGAGGCAATAAAGGGTTCAGTATAACAACACAGGACCTGCAAACACTTTCCTTTTCATGACAACAGTATGCCTTTTACGTACGTTAAGTATTTAGACACTCTGGTGCACTAGAATCCTTAAGCGCTCCAAAAAGGTACTCTGAGTGTAAAGTACCTTCAGTCTCACCATGGCGTGTCCTGTATGACTGACCAGAAGGGTTGTGAGCTGGGTGAAGCTTTTAGCCTTAGAGTGCAAGGAATCTTTTAGTTCTGCCGCAGTTTAATGAGTGGAGATTCTAAGCTGATTCAGCTCTTAAACAGTCTGATCATTAGCGCTGTATCATCTGTCACCTTTGGGTGATAATTAGAAAAAGAAAGTCAATAACAATAGTACATAACACTACTTTACCAAGATTTAAACAAGTTGTAATATTGTTGAACATCTATTGATGAGTCCAAATGTGCCACAGGCTATTGAGCACAAAGAGTGCTTTGATGTGATGTTTTCCATTATTAATTTGATGTGGTAGAGTTTGTAGAAGTGAGAACATTTGTGTTCATTTTATTACACGTGGGAAGAGCCTGAGATATTTTACATATTCATTTCCTTTTCTTCTATTGTTTATTCTATCAAATCTTTTGACAAACAAGCACAGAAGAACAAAGCAGGGAAACAATTGTTTTGATTCTGTTAAGAATACTAGACTACTCATTTTCCACATCTCGTGGGTTGTTTGGATTTTTTATTGATTTATTTGACCTCCAAAAAATACATCCTGTATGTATGACAGCAGCCCCTAGATGACAGGGAAAATTTAAGCGGAACTACTTTTTCCCCAGAATAGAACAAGATATCAAGAACTCACCGCAGTGATACAAATATGGGTCAGGACTCATTATTGCATTACTTTAGTGTTCCGGATATCGGGTCTGATGTGTATGAGATACCCCCGTAATGCAGCGGTCAGTTATTGTTTCTTATTGACCACTTCCTCATCTGCTTGTTGGTTCTTCCTTTTGGTGATTAAACTCATTTGTAAAGAGCACAGTTGTGGAAATCTCTAAAGAGCAAGCCTTTTGGAGTCTTTTTTATTGCCTGATATTGTCTAATTAATCCCTTAATGAAATTTCTTTCCCTTCCTCTAGTCTGTCCTTTTATGCTTTTTGCAACCACAATACGTTAACAATTTGGTCATGGATCTGCAAAATGCAGTTTTGCTCAACCGATATTTTGCAATGATTTAAACAGGAAAGTTGTTAAACCCGAAACAGAACAATATACAGAAGATATCTGGGAATAAGAGAAATGTCTTTGCTGATTGACTATATCCTTTCAGGCAAACACAACTGAGACAAGCTGTTTTCATCTCATGTTGGTGGAAATACGCACATGCAAGAACGTTTAAATCTCTCAGACCTGTGAGACATGTTTTTCCTTAGCAGTAAAATGAAGATACTTTAGTTCTCTTCCCTTCTGCATAGAAAGAATAATATGAGTCCTACCTGGGACCCTGCGCAGTATCAGACAGTCTGGGCTAAATCCCACAGATGTTCCCCACAAAGGAATCAATAGCAGGAATACAGACTTCATCTCACAGATGAATGACATCTAATGGCCCTGCCATCAATTTAAATTCTAAGACACGAAATTAAACTGAAACGGTTCAGTTTTAAAACTCACACTATATTTTGGACAATAACTACCCTATATTTCACCTATTTTTCAAGGCTGCTCAGTACAAGAGCAACTGCAGCTAAGCAATTAAACAGTAACACACAATGTCTCGGACTAACATTAATAAAACATTAAAAACAGGAATTGTTCATATAAAATATTGAGGCACTACATGCTGCCATTCTCTGTATGAGGTATAAGCACTTTACACAGATCAATTACTTCCTTATAAAATTAAAGGGGAGCCCAAGATGCAAACTCAAATCCAAGTTCAGCCTTGGATTTTGAATACTTCATATATTTGGGATGTTTAAAATAGAGGTCCCCCTTTAGCTCCGTCACTGATTTAAAACAAAACAATGTAGTTTATAGACTACTTTGAGAGAGAGATGGAAAACGTAATTAAAAACTACTCAGCTGTTTCCAGTAGCCAAATGTCCAGATTTAGTGAATGAAGATCAATGAAAAGCAGGAACTTGCATCCGTAAAATATAAACCATATAGTTTCAAGCTTTGGTTATCTACAAATCTCTGTGACAATCAGCCTTTTCACCTCCTATGCCCGTACACACAGAAACAAGGCAGCACAATTGTTTCCCAGCACCCAGCTCTGCTAGTTCCATTTATTATACATCAAGCTGAGATGCTTCCCAGACAAGGTATCCACTACTACATGTGGCTGCAAAGTCCACTTAGAAAATGGGGAGAGAAAGGTGATTGGGTTCTCCTCTTGATAAGTAAATTCTACATAATCCTTAGGGGAGATAAAATTTGTCTAAAGTCCAGAATCTGGGTCAGACTACTGGTTCCCTCTAAGGTAGTCACACCAATAATGAATTTAGACCTCAGATTCTAAAAGTCAAAATATTTTTGACATATATAACTTCATTTTGGCATCCACAGGAAAAAATCAACTAGACCAGCAAAGGACTGTGAAAATGCACAGCAAACCCATCATAAACTGGAAGCATCTCCATTTCCATGCAAGCTGGGTTTATCCATCTCAAATTAAATGAAAACATTCTTTAAAATAACATTACCAGAAGAAGCATTATCCTGTCAAGGTGCCCAGTATTAGCTTATGTAAGATAGTAGCCTTCATAATTATTATAAAAAGTCTTTACTCTCATATGTCTCAAATTCTGATAGTTGTGTATCAGTCAGCCCTATAAAACTGATGACCCTTCTTTTTATTCTGGGCTCAAATGAAAATATTTTGAAATTAAGCACAGTCTAAACATAGCCTCAACGTGCCCTGGCATGGAGCAGGAGCGCACAGCCGCGCGGGGCCTCGCAGCCTTCCTCCTGCAGCCTTCCTGCATTGCTCGTGTGCACGCAGAGCTGAGCTCACCCGCCACCGCTCGCTGCCCGCGAGAAACGCGCGTCCAAGGGCCTGGCTAGCGCCATTGCCCGCAGCACATCGGGCGCTCTTGGGTGCCTGAGCCTCTGATACTTGATCATCTCTCTCTTTGCTTGCTTTGTGAGAGCTGAACCTGTAATGCTGGCTGGCAAAGCGGCAGGGCACTAGAGGATCTACGGTCTGTAGGAACTATAGGGCACTTTCCCATAGTATTAAGTAGCTTTGCAGACAAATGAGAGCTTTTTGCAGACAAATGAGAGCTTATCTTATTAAGTGTCTCGTATGTTTATTTAGCATCATTAAGATAAGAGTTGTTTTGTGTATGCGTTTTTACTGCTAACCACTTTTATCCCTTGGAAAGCCACAGGAGGTCATGTTCAGAGCCTGTTTGGGCTCATAAAACCATCACCCAAACATTATCAAGTCATTGCTGACTGTCAGTGTTGGCTGACAGATGTTGCCAACTTGCCCCTTGGTGCAAGATGCACACTGGCAGGGAGTGTCCCTTTGGTTTTGCTCCCAGCTTGCTCCTCATTTGCCCCATGCCGGAGCCATGGGGCGCAGGGGCAACCATCAGGCAGAGGCTGGCCGCAGCTCGCCACAGCTCAGCTCAGCTCCGCGGCAGCGCTCACCTCTAGTCCACTGCTGATTCAAGATCTTGATTCATTAATTAGATCATTGACTAGTTAATGCTTGTACAGTACTCTCTATTTTCAGAGCTTTGCATTCAAATGAGGAATTGTTTTCATTAGTAATAATTATTTGTTTCTTGATGTTGGTAGTAAAGCTATTCAAGTCACCCCTAGGTTTCTTCTTTTCTGTACCCTCCTATCCCTTTCTTATCCCCTCCCTGGGGTGGAGTTAGTCAAATGTGAGTTAAATGTGGTTAGGCTGAAAGACTAATGACGAAAACTAACTGAAATGGCATCTGCATATTCCCTTTGCTACCTTAGCTGAGCTAGGAGTTGTTCAGGCCTCCCGGCTCCTCTGGGGCCAGGACAAGGATGCACAAACCAACTCTAAAAACTGTAGTTCTTCTCAGCTTCATTATAAATTACTTAGCATCTCTAATAAGGGACTGAAATACACTAAAGTTGCATCTTTTTTTCTTCCTTTTCGTTTGAAATAGATGTATGTGAGTACATGGCCAAGAGCTGCTCAGTATCGCAGCATTTCGTGGTTATGCAGAGATCTGTGCGCCGTGGGGGGGAACCTCTTTTCTTTCTTCCTCCCGATGTCCCTTCTGTTACAGACTTTTCTTTCAAACCCATGTGGATTTTCAGGTAGCATTCAGAAACCACTTCTTTTGTTGTTGTTTTTGCAGTTTTCCTTGTAGTTCATTGATTTGTCCAAACCTCAAACTCAAAGCCAACCTCGGAAGCCATCAGCCTACTTCACCGAGGAGGAAAGTCCATCACCGGTGACCGGCCCGTGCCCCGACCTGCGCGAGTGGGAGCAGCCCGGCTGCCATCTGCAGACTGTACTGCACAGGCCTCACACCTCCTCTTTTGTTACTTACTATTCAAATGACTATTGCCAGCAACATTTTGTAAAGCAATAAGTGTGCTGTAAACTACATGTAAAGATGTTTCCTTTTTGATCCACTCTAAAGATTTGACCATTTAAAAAGAACTATTTGGCAATAGTTGTTCTTTGGGTTTTTTTAAGAGCTGTGCCTAGACATGCCAAAACTGAGCTTGACCTGGGCGTCACACAAAACAGCTCTGCCGGAGGGGAAGGGCAACGGAGCTGCTCTGCAGAGGTGGGGCGGTCATTTTTGTTTTATGATGGAAAAGGTATGTGATATGGAGGACAGCAGCTGGTGGAGTGTCCTGCTTTTTCTGTGCGTTTTTGCTGGCCAGCCTTTTTGAATGACTTCCATCGTGGAAAATTAAACCTCAGGACCAGTATGTGGGCTGGAAGCATAGCCGTGTCCGCACATTTTGCTGCATACTTCTGCCACTTTAGGACCTTTCTTCCTGCCATTAGCAAGCTCGCAAACCCCGTTGACTCCACAACAACTGCAAAATCCTCCACACAGATGAAAGGAAGCAGATCCATTTTCTCTAAACCAGCTCAGTGACATTTTATGAAGAGCCTCTTAACAGATCCAACGCCAGGAATATTTTCATCTCCTCCGCTCAAGCATACCTTTTGAAGGCCAGCGGGGTCTGTGAGTGGAACATGGATTAATGTAATCTTCCCCGTGGCCCCGTCTAGAACCTCTCCTGGCGAGAGCCTTATCTCACCCATCGTCTGCTCCGGCACTGCACCTCCGCTCCCCGGACCCGTTCTGAACAAACTCGCTCTTGCCTCAAGGATTATGTTTTTCTGTTACAGTCAACACAGGCAGGTCTAGAAGAGTAACATGGAGCTTTATGCTCTTGTTTTGGAAAAACAGCATCTTATGATCAAATCTTCTTAAAGTAAAGAATGGCGTATAAATGAACAGAAACTTTCATACTTACTTGCAGATCTTTACATTGATAACTGTGGTTTCTATGACTACCACGCAGTGGTGTTCTGCTTTATTTCTCTGTACTGGTGATTCACAAGGCAGAAAATGAAGACATTTTTTGATCCATTCAGTCATACATCAGTTGTACCTATTAAAACAGAGGGAAGACCATAAGTTAGTTTATAAAGACATAGATGATGCTACTGCCTAATCTTCATCTACAGACAGACAGGTTCTAGCGGCAACCAAGTATATGGGCTTTTTGCAAATTGTAAATAATGTATAACCTTGGGCTGTGGACATAAATGCTTTCCTTTTTCCTGGACTGCCTCTTCTTCTGCCTTTGCTGCAGAAAAGGGAAGAGAATGTGAATTTCTAGAGATATCACTATAGCTCTTATTCTGAATTTTGTTTTTGCCAATTTATAGGAGTTAATCAAAAAACCCGGCATCTATTTTCTCATGCCATGTATGAAAGCTTTGTCAGCAACTTTCCTCTTTTCTTGACAGTGTTTATGTCCTTGTTAGGAACATTTTTGTTTATGCCAGCTACAGGATGTACACTACCCCTTAGAGTCACTCTGCAGGAAAATATCTCCAAGAAAGCGTATTCCTCCGAGTGCAAAGTGCACCTGTCAATGAAACTCTGCTCAAAAAGGGAGAAACTGAGTCAGGGCATTTGTGAGATAGGTCATCCAACTTAACCAGCACCCCAACAGTTTTTGTGTTTGAAAAAAAACAGACTGGGTCTAAATGCCCAGAAATAGTAGATAAAAGTAAGAAGTCTGGGCTTATCTCAGGTCCAGCTGCTGGCTGCCTTCTTAGTAGCTCTGTTCGGTTCAGAGAAAGAGGTGGGGGAAGCCCAAATCTGCATTGCAAAAGAAGGTGGAGATTTGGCTAGGTGGGAGCTCTCTGCTAAATCACGCAGGCTTCAGAGTCACAGAAACTCCGCTGTCGCCAGCAGTACCCAGATTTCCATCAGAACAGCCGGGGCACAGTGTGGTGAGCCATCTTTTACCTTCCCACCAAAATAAAGATTCAGGAGATCTGCAGCTGAGATCAGCATTGCACTCATCTGTTTGTTGTATGCCCCACATTAGCCCTAGAAGCCAAACAGGGACAAATCGGGATCTCCATGTCCCGCGCGCTGTACAGGCACTGAGTACAAGAAATATCAGTGCGCTCAAAACTTGTCTCAGCTCCATTTTGATGTTTGGGCTCAGCTAACAGGACAGTACAAAAAACTGCATGTACCATGTTTCCGTGCCCTACCCTTTTGACTGGTGGTTTGGTCACTTTTCAGTGGAAAAGGTTTCTCTTCCTCCTGACAATTTTTACGTTGCAGACTGAATGCAAACAATATGCATTCAGACTACATCTCTGTAAGAAGAAAGGGAATTTGTGGTGTCAGGAAAGGGCCCACAGTACATTCATTCATCACAGTAAAAGATCATGTTTTTGACCCTCTAGGATACGTGCCCACAAACGTTTGGGTTCATCTTAACGTTCCCTTCAGGTAGGTCAAGTTATCCAAGAAATCCTTTCCTATAGCCCCCACCAAAGCCACCCACGTTTCTCAACCCTAGGTCTCACCTCCGCAAAGCAGGGCCTGCTGTGTCCTGCACGGCTGCCCTGGCACCTTGCCATACAGGATGGCCCTCGGGCCGGGGGCCATCACCTTGCCCACGTCTGCACTGCTCAGCCTAAGTCCCCTCCATGGAAGATTTATCTGGGAGACAGCTTTCTTTTAAGAGGTGACATTCAAGAGGTTACACAGGGATGAGAACTGACATTGAGAAAGTCAAACGCAATTTTGACTTTAATGGGGACAAACGTTAATATGGACAAATGATAAAGCCATCTTTCTGGATTTGTCAGAAATTACTTGGCTTCAAGAGATCAGTTAGATTTGAACTTTTCAGAATTCCTACAGCTAAAGGAAATAGGCAGATATTTTTCTTTGCATCTCACAGAAAAGTTAAAATCTGTGCAGACTCTTTTTCAGTCATCCTTGAAATCACATCTGAAACAGCTGAGGAGTAAAGTTCACTGTAAATTCACACAGTGAATTAAAAACACATGTTAAAATCTTTAAGAGGAAGTGGACGCGTCCCTACCTCTGTCATGAAGTGGAGAACTGCTGACGTGTGCGTGTGGAGGCCTGGCGAACCGAAGCAGCTCCCCTGAGTTAAAGGCATTAAGGCACAGTGGTGTCAGTGAAAGCCGAAATTGGGCCCACGCAGCACATGAACTTACTCAGACAGCAGGAAATCCAGCTTCAAAAAAAATGCTCGTTTCTCTCATTTCTGCTGTGAACTTAACGGCTACACCTCAGGAACAACACATATTCAAAGAGCTGCTCTACAGAACAAGCTTCTCGAACGTGGGACATTTTGACATCCTCAAGAGGATTTCGAAACAGTCCTTGCTGGCCAGGAGCGAAGCCCACGCAGCGCAGCGATACCCATCCCCACGCCGTTTCGTTGCCGCCGCGGTTTCGGGGCGCGGAGGCTGCCCGGGCTGCAAAGCGGCCGTGCCGACTCCCGCTCCCCGGCCGCT